TTTGCCATAGCAAGTGAGCTACTAAGTGATGAGGTAGTGCTGATGTGAGATTTCTTAGAATGCCTTGAATTTCTACTCACTTGAGAAACACTGTCTTCTGGCGTTACGTGGACATCACCAAACTGCTGTGGCTTATGCTCCCTTCTCTGTATCCACTCTCTCACCTTCACTTTAAATTCCCCGAAGGACTCATTATGGTTTTCAAACCAACCCTGGTTATCTGCATGTTGGTCATCAAAGGAAAGCATTTGTTGATATGCATCATGACTAATTAAAAAGTCCTCATATATCACCATCCAGTGTGTGTAGGCCTTTCGTAATAAGTTCAAGTCTGCTTCATCTGTCATTAATTGTAAGACTTGACCTGTCTTTCTATTTAACTGCTTACATGGCTCGTTACGTTTTCTTTGCCTCACCTCTGTAAAGTATGCCTTTCCTTTCTCAGTTTGGTTTGTTTGTCTGTCACCCATGTTTGAGACCTGTGATGCATTCCCATCATTTTCTGTGACTTCTGTTGTGTACCTTTTCTCCATATTGTCAGCAGTACTTGATATCTCTGACATCGTATCTTGAGACTAGCAACCAAATACGTCAATGAATGATGTAGCGATTATGAACAAACTCCAAGATTACTGGGGTCCAATATGTGTAATGTGACCCATGAAAATGTTCACTGCTACTAGAAGGTCAGCTGAGTGTCTCTCATCAATGCGTCCCTTGCCAACGGATGAAACAAATCAATATACACAAATATGACTTGCAACTAATTTATTCCAGTCTCAATATCGCATGACAAGTAACGATTGACTGCAAACAAACAAAAACAGTCAATAAGCAAATTGCTGTACATAACAATTCATACAGTAAAATACAGCATACAATAAACTATAACAGCGTCTGGATTACTTTCGGAAATTCCCTCGCGTTTCGGAAAGTTTTAATTTTCAAAATCTTTGAATATTTATTTGTGCTTTTAGGTTAGTGAGGAGGTTATAATAATTTTTCATTTCACTTTAACTCTGTTTTTTTCACCCCTCAGACCCCTTTAAAAAGTCACTTCTGGGCCATTGTAATGGCCACTATTATCTTAATGGCCAGAATATTGACCAGAATTTTTTAAGTGGCCAAAATATTTACCAGCGTTTTTAAAATGGTGGTTTTAATGACCCATGTTTTTATACTGGTCAGAATAATACATTGCTTTTTAAATGATTGAGTTGATGACATTTTTTTTTGATGGGCAGTATAATGGTCATTTTATTTTTCATTACATACATAACATGACCAGTATTTTTGTTCATGTCACTAATATAATGGCCCAGAAAAAAACCTTTTACCTCGTGTGAGTCAATATACGTGTGGGAATTTATTTTTCTAAGTTTTACTGGCGCTTGCAAGTACACTTAAAAGGGAACCGCTCAATCCCATGGATTGCACCAAAGAATCATGGGACACTATTGTTTAGGTTGTTTACAATGTTGATCTATCTTTTGTTATCCATTGTTATTTTAATCCAGAAAGTAAATTTGTTGTGAAATTAAGCTTAACTGGAAGGTGCCCCTTTAAATGAAATTTCGCGAATAATGCCTCGATCCCCAGTGAAATTTTATAGTAACACTGATGCCAGTGACTGCTGGTGGACTACATAACCTGCGGAGTATTTAGATGGTGTTGAATCATAGGATGATTGCAGTACTGCAACTGGCACATCAAGGTATGAATTTGTAATTATTTTACCATTTTACAATGACTTCAATACAATATTAGATACTTTTGTTGTTTATGTAGCAGGATAGTCTTTTAGGGCTTTCGTTTTTGTTTTTCAAAAATGATATAAATTAAAAAACACTGCTTTGCTTTATGTACTATCATACCTATTTTTTGGAAAAAAATAAATGCGCAAGTTTTTGTTCAGTCGTGGCTCACTGTATAAGTACTGTTTCATTATCATTCATAATTGTCAAACAACAAGCTCAAGTAGGTGTTAATGAGGATTAGCTCCTATGTTTATTAATACAAGAAAAGTATAAACAAAGGTTATTTCCAACTCCTGAAATCTGCAAAAAACATCAACGTAAATTTGTTTTCATTCATGGCAATGTTTTCAAATTATTAATATAATTTAACTGACTGCAAAATGTTTTTTTTTTAAATTTTCAAAGATTATGTATATTGTTTTTTT